TTCTCTGTCTGCCAATTCTTTTCGATACAGTGACTCAGTATATTCTTTCCATCTTCTTTTAATACTTCCTGGATCATTTAATATTCTGCCTAAAACATCCCTGATTATAGCAACTCGAGGTTTGAATTTGTTCTTCAGTTCCCTGAGCTTAAGAAATGCTGAGCGAGTTTGGCCCTTTTGAGTTTCTGACTCCAACTCCTTGGAGTTTAGTGTGAGACTAGCTAATTCCTTTATGAATAGGCTAATAGACCATATTCATATATTCCTCCCTCCTCAATGGCCAAGCCAAACTCAATTACTGGGAAAGCCAGTTTGAACAGTACACTCTTAACAACACACACTAGACAGGGAAAAGTGCAGATCTGCTGGGCATATGGTCACTATGAGTCTTCGGCCTGTTGACACACTGTAACTTACCAACAATTACAGGAAAATGAAGTTTTATCCACTGTGTAATCAAAGTGGCTTTCCTAGCCATCAGCTTTGACCTTTCCCACATTATTGAAAAAGACTATGTTAATGATGTGGAATAAGAGAATAGCAAGCAGCTTTTGGGTGAGAATATTCAAAGAAGGAGTGAAAACTACTAATAAAAGAGTTCTGGTGGCCTAATCGTAAGGAATTGTGCTGGCAACTCAAAAATATTTGGTTCAAATCCACCAGCTGCTCTACAGAAGAATGATGGGAAATATCTTCTTAAGTGATGAATTGCCTCTGAAAACCCGCTGGAAGATCAGCATTGGGTTACTTATGACTTGATGGTAAAAACCAATGAGTTACTCTTGCCACCTTGTCACATTTAAATTGAACAAGTTTAGAGTCAGAAAGTGACACTATCACCATGAGAAAGAAGTGCAGAGTCCAGCACATCTTTTCAATCTACATGCAGAACAGATCATTTGGGAGGCTGGGCTTTATGAGGAGGAATGTGGCTTCTGGATTGGAAGAAGACTCATCAACAACCTGCTTGATGAAGATGTCACAATCTTGCTTGTTGAAACTGAACAGGACCTGAAGTGCTTGCTGCAGAAAGTCAAGAACTGTAGTCTTCAATATAGACTGAAGCTCAACATGAAGAAAAAAATTATTCTTACCACTGGGCCAACTGACAACACCATGATAGATGAAGAGATTAAGTTTGTTACCAATTTCAGCTTGCTCAACTCCACAGTCAACACTCTTGGCACCAAAATTCAGGAAATTAAAAGACTAATTGCACTGGGGAAAATCTGCCAGGGAACTCTCCAGAGTATTCAGAAGCAATGAAGTCAGTCTAGAGACTAAACTTGCTATCCATCAGATAGCTGGACAGTGACTAAGAATAACAAAAAAAGTACTGATGTCTTTGAGTGGTAGTACTAGAGAAGAGCACTGAACCTCCAAGAGAATAAATAGGCCTGTCTTGGAGAGGGTGAAACCAAGTTTCTTCTTAAAGGCTAGGATTCTGAAGCTCAGTTACACATGCTTCGGGTATGTGGCAGGAAGGTCTAGTCCTTGGAGAAGGACATCATACTTGGACGGTGGAGGGACAACACAGGAGAGGAAGACCCAAGACGAATGAGAGGGATTAACACAATAATGGGGATAATGGGGATAGGAGTGTCAGAGTCAGTAAAACTGGCTCAGGGCATGGTAGGCTTCAGAGCTGTGGTACCTAGGGTTACAATGAGTTGTAGGCAACTCTACGGCACATAACAATAACAACAAGATATCGTAAAATCATATTTTACATTTCTAAGTAGTATCAGGGTTGCAAACAAAATATACTCTTAAGTTTGTTTTTGAGTATTACTTATAGGTCAATCAGAACAGGTCCATGTAGTGCTACTCACTCAGCCTAACTTTAGTGAATGAAAATCTTTATAACTTCTCAAAGCTTTTATAAACATTTTAAAGATGCATGCACAGCAAGGGATAGTGACTATGATAATGATAAATATGTGGCAAGTTGAGATTGTTTTAACTGTTTTAAAGTGAGGAAGAATGACATTACATTAAATAAATAACAGTAAAGGGCAAATCTAAATTGCCTGCAAACTTTCAGGACAAGAAGAATCATCAGGGTCCTCAATTCAATGATAAGTAATGTTGAAAAGATTGTTGTTGTTTATTTGTTTATTTCTTTGTTAGGTATTGGTTACGCTCACAATGCTTTTTCTACCAATAACAGTATCTTGGCATAAATTCACCTGAAGACTGAAATTCATTTCACTCATAATACCACTTAAGTTATTCTAATTAAAAGAAAGTCATCATACCATTTAACGATACCATAACAATCCTTAATAATATCTTGAAGGACAGCACGATAAAAGAGTGATTCAGTCGACACCTATGAACAGAAAAACAGAGATAAAAAATAATAAAAATTAATTTTAAAGAGTTTAGACTCCACCTTTTTGTTAAACAGAGAAGAAAATTTTATAATTTTTCAATTTTGAAATTCCAAGGTTATCTTGAGCTTAATTTTCCATCGAGAAATTAATTTTTCAAGAATATAAAACAAATGAGTGAGAGAGAAAAGGCAAAATGAAAAATAAGCTATTGTCCCAAATGGAATGGTTATTAGCTAAAAATGAACAAATAATAAACTTTCAACACTAGTCAAATTACCACTGGAGTTTATAGATCAGAGTCAAGTGAGAAATAGGTTGATCAGATGTGAATATGGCATGATCAAACCTAACCAATCGCACAGGTCCCTAGGCAGGGCTCCTCTATGACCAGTCTCATGAGACTGGGCACCAATAAAAAGCAATGTTCACCGGAAGCTGCCCACTTTCTCTGCTGACCGTCTGCCGAAAGGTTTGGGTCCATCCCTGATGTTTCAGGGGTACTTCTTCCTCTCTCTTTCTCCCTTTGTCCCCTCTTCTTCCCTTTTCTCTTTAACTCCTTCATATGTTCTATCTTTATACCAAACATGCCTTGTTTACACTAACTTAATACAACTTTTTCACTTTTTGTGCTAAATTACCACTGAATTTAAGTTTGTTCATTTATTTACAGTCACTTCACTCCCTCGTGAGAAGTATTATCAAGTGGTGAAAAGATAAAAAAAAATTCTAGATTTTGCATGTTTCAAGATGAATTGATACAATAACTGCGGTAATGGGGGTAAATGTGTTGGCAACAGTGAGACTGGCTCAAAATAGGGCAGGATTCAGAGCTCTTGTACATAGGGTCTCTATGAGTAGAAGGCATATAACAATAACATGAGTCGCAGACATATAACAATAACGACAAAAACAAAATTTTAATTACTGACTGAAAGTTGAGCCACATGAGTGAGTTTTGAAATAAACAAAAGATAAAATTCACCAAAACTCCTTTTCTAGCCTCACAGACCTTTTGGTTTTGATAGCACAGGAAAATTCATCAAACATAAAAAATGTTAATGATAAAAATCTAACTTCCATGAAGAGTTACTGGAAACAAAAAGAAAACTGAGTATATACTAAAACTTTCTGGTAGATACAATCATAAGAGTACCTGTTGTTATGTGCCATCGAGTTGCCTGTGAATCACAGTGATCCTATCTACAACAGCTCTGAAGCCTGCCATGTCCAGAGCCTGTTCTACTGACTCTGACACATCTAACTCCATTACTCACTCCAGTTACTGTGTCAGTCCATCTCATCCAGTCTTCCTCTCCTGCACTGTCCCGCCACCCTTCTGAGCATGATGTCCTTCTACAAGGACTGGTCCCTTCTGGCCATGTCCCCAAATTATGTGAGACAGAACTTCAAAATCCTAACCTCCAAGGAGAGGTCTAGGTTTTTTGTTTTTGTTGTTGTTTTTTAGGTAATAGGTTTTGCATAGCACAATTATGTGTTTGGGATTCCCATTCTTATCAATATTAGCTATAATTTTATATGATCAACACAGTAAAATGCCTTTGCATAGTCAATAAAACAGAGACATTCTTTCTGGTATTCTCTGCTTTCCGCTACGATCCATCTGACATCAGCAATGATATCTCTGGTGCTACAGCGGCTTCTAAATCCAGCTTGAACTTCTGGCTGTTCTTTGTTTATGTACTGCTCTTGCTGTTTTTGGATAATCTTCAACATGATTTTGTTTGCATGAAGTAGTAGTGATATGTTTGATAACTTCCACATCCTGTTGGATCATCTTTTATTGGTAATGAATGTGTCAGTTAGCTGTCTGTGTAGCTGTCTTCCAAATTTCTTGGCACAGACTGGTACACATGTCCAGGGCTGCATCTATTTGTTGAAACACGTCAACTGGTATGCTCTCAATTTGGCTTTGGTTGCTTAGTGTTTGGAGCTGCTCTGGTAACCCCGAAGCACAAGGTTCTCAGCAATTAGCTGCTTTGAGAGGAAAAGATGGATAATTTCCTACCATGTGATTTACTAGCTCTGAAAATCTGCTGAAGGGTTAGCTTTGAGTTTTTTATGACTCAATAACACATAATAACAAACTTAAATTACCAATGTACAAATAGGAAACACAAAATGAAAGTTGACCAAACTCCCTAGACAAAAATACAACAGATGAAAAAAAAAATCATGTAAAAAGCAATTATTAAAGTATATCTAGGCAAGAACATTAATACAATAGGTGTAGGCTATTGTTGTTTTTAGGTACTGGTAAATTAATTACAACTCACAGTGATCCTTTGAAGACAGACTGGAACTTTTATCTTATCCTGTGCCTTTCTCACTGTCTCCACTCTGCTTATACTCACTGATACAGTCACTTTATCAATACTTCTTATTGGAGAATCTTCCTCTGTTTTGTTGACCCTCCACCTTTGCAAACATGATGCCTTTTTCCAAATATTGGCCCTTCCTGACAAAATGCTTGAAGTATGTGAGACAAAGTTTCACAATTCTTGCTTCTAAGGAGTACCTTGGTGACACTTTTTCAACACAGACTTGTTTGTTCTTTTAACACTCCATAGTGGTAGTGTCACAAACTCTAAAATTGACTTTTCTAGATATTATGTTAGCTACAGTTTGGGCAGGGGACATGGTCTCCAGCTACCTTCACTGCAGACAGACGCATGGTCTTGCAAATCATCAATAGCCATGGGACCTTACCCTTCTGCACCTCTGTCATCTCCCAGTGAACAACATGGCTGGGTAGCTCATCAGACTAAGAAAAGAATGAGTGCAGTTAAGTTTCTGTGTGAACCTAGAAACTGGCAGGTTGAAGCTGAGAAAGTTATTCAGCGGAGCTCAACCTAGAACATCTGATGCTCATGGCAGCCTAGATATGTTCAAAGCAAACTATATATATATATATATATAGATAGATAGATAGAGAGAGATAGAGAGAGAGAGAGAGAGAGAGAGAGAGAGAGAGAGAGTGTGTGTTATTTTAGCCTCTGATATCTGGATGGTTCAGTAAGTAGCATGACTGTGGCAACAGCTAATACACACAGAGCCCTATCAATTTAAAAAATTAAGAAGAATGCTATCAAGGACAGCCTTGGTGGTTTAATGGTGATGAATCCACCTGCTGCTATGCAGGAAAAAGATTAGTAGTCTCCTCTTGTGAGACCTACTCCCTCTGAAATCCTGTTGAAGGCTCAGCTATGGGTTGGTTCTGACCCACTGCTACATAACAACAACAGTATTAGGAAGCAATTAACCAAAAGGCTGCAATAATAATTCAAGGGAGATAATGAATCGTGAACTAGGGAGGTGGAAACAAAGGGAAAGGGAGAGATTAACAAAGGTTGATGGGATTTTAGAGTTACAGTTGAGTTTTAGAGTTGATGGCTGACTGGATGTTAGTAATGGAGGGAATGTAAGAGTTGATGATGATTGACATTCATTATGATTTATGAAAGTGAAAGTATGATAGTGTTATTACTGAATTAAAGAAAAGATGTAGGGAATACATTTGATGTACAGTGTTAGTCATGAATGTGTTAGACTTGTGACAGGCAGAAAAGCAAATATGAGATAGAATGTTGGCTTTGAATAAACTGAGTATGAGTCATGATGGCAGTGAAATGTAAAATATCTGGAAGCATGAGTTTATCATTCCACTATGTAATGTTATATAAATAACTCATCCACTGCCTTTGAGTGGGTTTCAACAAATAATGACCTTCTGTTGCATTTCCGAGGCTTGAAGAAGACTGCTTATCTTCTTCTCATGAAGTTAGCTGGTGGATGTAACAAACTGCCAAGCTGATATGTTGATAGGTTAGCCACTATACCACCCAGCGATTCAGAACAGTGGTGACTAAAGACAGAAAGAAATTATTCAAAAAATCCGTATAAGATTAACCTTGTTTGGTGCCTATGAACAGCTAATCTGAATCTTGTCCTGTCCTGTGCCATCTCATTATATCTGACATACTCGAGCCCATTGCTGAAGTCACCATGTTAATCCATTCTTTGGGGGTGTCTTCCTTTGTTTGTTGATCTCCATCTTTTCAAGTATGATGGCCCTCTCCAAGAGATAGCCTCGCCTACCTATGTGTCCAAAGTATGAGATATGAAGCTTCACAATCTTTGCCTCCAAAGAGCACTCTGCACTTTTTTTCTAGACATATTTGGTTGCTCTTTTAGTTTCAATGGAATATTTAACACTCTTTCCACTAATACAATCAAAAAGGTCAATTCTTCTGATATCTTTATTCATTGTCCAGCTCTGTAAAGCATAAGGTGATTGAGAAGACCATGGCCTGAATTAGGCACATCTTAAGTCTTCAAACTAACATCACTGCTCCTCATCATTTTGGAGAGGTTACTAGACTTGAAAAATGGAATGTCTCTTGATGTCCTGACTGCTGGTACCAAGGGTATTTATTGATTGTTGATACAAACAAGATGAAATAATTGATAGCTTCAATCCTTTTTCCATGTATCATAATAATGATTCTCAGTTTTGGGAAGGACCTTTGTTAATACTGGTGTTGAGATGTAATCTACAATGAAGGCTGTGGTGCTTGATCTTCTGCAGCAAGTGTTTCATATTCTCCTTCAGTAAGCAAAGTTGTATCACCTGCATAATGCTGGCTATTGGTAGGTCTTTCTCCAATCCTGATGCCACATTCCTCTTCACAGAGTCCAGCTGCATAAATTATTTGCTCAAAATACAGATTTAATATAAATGGAGAAAGGATACAATCCTGATGCTTACCCCCTGATTTTACACCATTCAGTATTCCCTAACTCTGAATGCACAACAGTCTCCTAGTCTAGGAATAGATTTTACATGAGCATAATTATGTGCTTTGGGATTCCCTTTCTTCTCAAAGCTAGCCATAACTTATTGTGATCCACATAGTCAAATGCCTTTGCACAGTCAATAAAACATAACTAGACATTCTTCTGGTATTCTTACTTTTAG